GCGGGCTCGGCGCCGCCCGCGCGGCCGTTCTCCTGACTGGCCGCGCCGAGCCGGTGCGCGCTTTTCAGCTCGGGGTTACTCTGGCTCGCCGCGTCGTCCACGTTTAAGTGAGGCGGGTGCGCGGCGGAGTTCTGGCTCGTGGTTTTGGCTGGTCCTTGACTGAAGTCCTGTTTCGGAGGCGCGGCTTTCGCTGGACCAAAAGTGTTTGGGGGTGGGATAAAAGAATGGTTAGACTCTAACGCAGAGGCAAAACTTGTGCTAGTTCCAGGAACAAAATTAGATGCCAGGTCAGGGTTAGCGCCTTGGCCGGCATTCTGGGGGGGAATCTGAGCGAAGTTCTCGGTGGGATTCTGTCTGAAGTGCTGATTAGGCATGTTAACGTTCTGAGTCAGTACATTGTTGTAAGGTGAGTTTCCAAAACTGGAGTTATCGTGCGGCCCGAAGTTAAACGCATGAGGTCGGTTAAAACCCATGCCCAGGGGGTTCTGAGGAAACGGGTGCGGCGGATTCCTGAGTGAGTACGGGCCGCAGTACGGGGAAGACATTCTCGGGGGCACGTGCGGCGGCATTCTGAACGTGCTGTACCCCGCAAACCCAGGGTAACCGGGGCCGAGATACGGATTTGAGGAAGGCAGTGGCTTGTAGGAAATAGTATTGTAGTTGTCATCGAATGGATTAGCAGCCACTAGGTGGTCAGAGTTTGGGTTCGGTGGTGGAGCATACTCAGACAACGGAAGAAAAGAAGGGCCCTGAAAAGAGAACGTAAGGCGTAACACTTGTTCTTGATCAAAGAAGTTATACTTGTCCTGTTTTCTTAACAACAATGAATTTGGTTTTTGTCAGATTTCTCTTACGCTGTTCAGAAAATTTAATCTCATTGACCTTTCAATTATAATTGTTTATATTTAATTATACTTACAGATAAAATATGTATAACTTAATGATAAAAATATCCATGTCTTTCATTTTAAAAAGAAAATAAGGTATACTTTTCTGAGCTCAAATCCACTGTTACTTCTAACCCTACAAGTATTTAACTTTCCAGAAGAAGCTTCATTGTTATAATTTTCTTAGTATGGTTGCCTCTAACTAGACTCATTTAAAGTATTAGAGCATTCTAACTAAAAGTACTTTCTAACCTCCAGTCATAAAATTAAATAACAATATACAAAATCCAAATTTTTTCCCCTAACTTAACTTGAGGACCAATTAAAGTATTTCCAAACACTAAGCTGTTGGCCTCACATTGTATTTTGTTTTGTTTTGGTTTTGTTTTTTTGAGACAGGGCCTTGTGTCATTCAGACTGTCCTGGATCTCACTACGTAGTCCAGGCTGGCCTGAAACTTGCAATAATCCTCCTGCTTCAGCTTCCCGAGTACTGGGGTTACAGGCGTGCACCACTACATCCAGCTGGGGCTCACAGTGTAAAGATAAACTGCCAGTTTTAAATCGCACCACAAGTTAAACGAGGCCAAAAGGAGGAGAAAACTAATTTGCACAAATATAGTATTTATCCATAGTCCTTAGCATCAAAAGGATGCCTCACATTTACAGACAATGAAGCCATAAATGCCAGTGTACATCATTTATTACAGCCACAGGTAAGGACAGGATGCCTCCATCATGACTGCCTCATGGTTCACACTAACACTGAATTATAATGCTGAACGTTACTTCAGGGTAAAATTGTTTCCAAATATCTTTGTCTTTTAATAGGACTATACCCATTTATATACTTAAAAAAACTTTAAATTAGATTTAGGAACAAGCATTTTAATTTGTTCACCCGTACTTTCTTCTATTATCTACTTGAGGCTTACTGTTCAAAAGCAGCCACTGGTTGCACACTAAACAACCAATCACTGCAGAGTTCACTATTAAGTTCTTAGTGAGGACAGGAAACAAAACCCACAACCAAATTTAAAGTTCCCTTATCAGTCCAGTCACAGCAGCAAAGGAAAACTACTACTAAAGAAATGTCCATTTACCTGTGTATTTGCCTTTCGTTTTTTCTTATCGGGGCTTCCTAGTTGTACACCTGGTCCTCCTAACCCATCCAGTCCACTATCACCACCTAAAAAAAATTGACAATACCTCCACTTGTAAGTGAGTTCACTTTACATCTCTCATAGTAATACTGTATTTAATTTAATATGTTTTCCATGTTTGTTGGATGAAAGCAGTACTAAACTTTAGTCTCTCTTCTGCAAAAAGTTGTTCCCATAGTTTCATGCAGAAATCATTAATCTGTTCCCATGGGTTTTATTCTTTCAGTGAAAAAGTCTGCCTTCCATCCTTGAACTGTTAATCCAGTATTCTGTCGAGTCCACCATTACTGATAGTGTCTGGATAATATAGGTATATTCCAGTATAACACAAAGGATGGGATACTATGAGTGCTAGTTTTACCTTGCTTCCTTCCTTGGAGGTCATTTTATGTCACATTATAGAACTACTTTATCCCTTAATACTTGAGTAGTGTTCTGTAACATGATTCGTCATAATGCATTAAAACTCCCTACTGGGTATTTAGGTTTCCAAATTTTTGCTGTGGCTGCAATGAAAACTCATGTGTAAATGTCTTTACATACATGTATGAGTCCTTCCTAGAATGAGAATTGTGGCATCAAAGGTACATGGTTTTTAATTCTTAGAGATATTGTCCAAATGCAACATTGTTTGCAAGTAATTTTCTAAACAGTATGTGATGCAGCAATGAAAAAACTTGTCTGTTAACCTAATAGTTTGTCAATGGAATTTTTTTCACTTTTGAAAACTTTCAATTATGAAGAATTGAAAACATATGCAGTATAAGTAGTAGAGTAAAATTAATCCTATATGCCCATCAATTCATGGTCAATCTTATCTCAAAATTGATTCCTCTCCTCAAGCCCATTCTGAAGCAAATTCCAGACATCATATTATTTCATCTGTAAATAGTTCAGAAGGACTGGAAAAAACCAAAAACACAAAACCCTGAAATTTCAGTCTCACTCCTATAAAAATTAATAATACCCCTTTAATATTTCGTATCCAACTCAAATATCCCACAGTATTTGGTAAGGCTTACTTAGGTTGGGATCCAAATATGATTCATGCATTACAGTTGGTTGACATGTCTTTTCATTGATACATCTCCCTCCATCACTCTATTTTTTTCTTCTACTGTATTAACTGAATTCCGGAATGGAGTTGATTAATGTTCCACTTATTAAGCTACAGTTTCAGCTGTTTGTGATGCTCGGACTGGGACTTTGCAAATTCATTTCCCTTTGGCCAGACTCTTCCAACAGAAGACATACAGGGTACTAAAAGGTGAGGAGGAGAGCCGAGAGGGAGTTTCTGCTCCTCCTGCCTCCCTGCTGTTCCTGTCTCTGTCTCTGTCCTGCAGCCACAGCCTTCTGTCTCTGGTAGCCGGTTCTAGGCTTGAGCTTTCTGACTCCTCCAAACTAGCTTCTACGTGCCTCTCCTCAGAGGGATTAGCACCAAACAGATGGTACTTAAACCTCAGCGTCTACTGAGCCTAAGTTGTTCAGAGTCCCTCCTCCAACCTTCTAGGTTCTGTAACAACTTCTTTGTTTACCAAACCCTAAATCTGGAAGCTATCTCACTTCAGTTCAACCCTTGTTTAATCAATTCTTTATATAAAATTATATTAAATTACAGCTATGATTTATGTTTTCTTGCCTGGGATGTATGATTTATCTGGATTTTGCTATTGTATCCCCTTGTAAAATGGTAGCTGGGTCCAGGCTGAAGGCTTGATCCAATTTAGATTTCTAGTTGTTGCAGTACTGCTTCACAGGTGATGGTCTGTTCTTCCATCAGAGAGCACGTAATGTTTGGTTGTGTTTTGTTGGCACTTCTTTTACTTTTCCGTTATGTAAATTACCACACATTTGGCCACCTAACATTTGAGGATGGAGGGAAATTTCAGTGTCAGAATGTATGCGTAGCCTGCCTGGCAAGCGCAAGGTCGTGAGTTCGGTTCCCGGTACCGGAGAAAAGCCAAAACCAAAAAAAATAAAAATAAAAATAAAGAATGTATGCGTAGATGTGTAAGGCCAGAGAGTTGGAGCCCCAGCACACACATACAAAAAAAGTTAATCAAAAGGTATCAATATTCCCAGCAATCCCTCTCCAAGAGAGATTTCAAACCCAAGAGAATTGAAAACTGCTTTGCACCAGTTTGTACAAGAATATTTAAATCCGTATTATTCATAATAGCTAAAAAAGGGGAAACAACCCATCTGTCCATCAATAGTGAATGGGTAAAAGAAATGGAATAGTGACATATGCTACAATATATATGCTGAACCTTGTAAACGTTGTACTAAATGAAAGCCAGACCCAAAAGTCCACATAGCATATGATCCATTTGTATGAAATGTCCAGAATAGGAAAATCTATACAGATAGCAAATATATTACTGGTTACCAGGCCATTGGGGAAAAAGAAAAAACTACAAGGTACAAGGTTTCTTTTTGAGGCAATGAAAAATATTCTGGAATTACCAAGCAATGATGATTGTACAGTATTCCAAATACACTAAAAATCCACTGAAATGTAGACTCTAAAATGGTTAAAATCATGAATTTTATCTCAAAAATATATTTTATTGTCTTTTGTTTTTGTGGTGCTGGGATTGAATCCAGGGTCTAGTATATGTTCTGCCACTGAGCTAAGCACCTAAAAATAAAATTTAAAAACTACTGTTACTATTTCTTAGCTTGTAGTTCAGAAATCAGGTTATGTTCTCTGCTCAGGATAAAGTCGAAATCAGGAAGTCAGTGTGCCGAGCTTTTATCTGAAGTCTGGGGGGAGGGGTGCCCCCAAGCTCATTCTTACAGCCAAATTTAGTTCTTTGTGTAGTACTGAGATTCTACTCTCCTAGAGGTCAGCCACATTCCTTGACTTGTGGCTCTGAATGCAATGGTGCAGCAAATCCTTCAAGTGCTTCAAAGTCTCTGAATTTCTCTTCTTCAACCAGTTGTAAAGAATGGCTACCAAAGGGCTCATGTGATTAGGTCAAGTCCGTCCAGAGAAGCAGGACTGCCTAAGACCAACAGTGTTCTATGATACAACCCAACCAGGGGGTTACAATCAACGAAACTCAACAGTCCTGGGCATACACTGTGCAGCACATGTACACCAGCAGGATGGGGCATTTCAGTAGTCATCTTGGAATTCTGGTGACCACAACCACTGATAAAGTCTACTTCCACTGAATTATTAGGGGCTGCAAAATGGTGATACATGCATGTATTTTAAACTTCCAATTCTCTGATAATGTGTAAGAACCACTGGCATTTCCTTTTCTGTTTATGCCCTTTGCTATTTTTCTGTTTGATCCTTCATGATTTGTAGTTCTTTATATGCTAAAAAATGCTCAATCTATTTGAACTGAGGTGCTTCATCCACCGAGTAACAACCCCCTCCCTCCCTGCATGTGCCATGCCCTTCAGCTCTCATAAATTTTTTGCTTGTATGTTTTTTTAGACAGTCTGGCTGTGTAGTCTGAGCTGGCCCCAAACTAGTGATCTTCTTGCTCAGCCTCTCAAGTGCTAGGATTGCAAATGTGTACCCCATATCAGGTTAGTTTTTATGACTTTGACTGCAATAGAGAATTTATAAAAATGGAGCCATGCAGTATTTGTCCCTTTGTGGCTGCCTTATTTTATCTGTGTCACTTAGCATAACGTCCTTGGAGGTGACACCTGAGTTGCCTTCACATTTTGGGTGTTATGAATAATGCTGCTATGAATGAGTATACAAATATCTTTTCAAGACATCTATATAAATACTTCCATTATTTTAGATATATACATAGTGCTAGAAGTGCTAGATCATATGATAATTCTTTTTTTTTTGAGAAACCATTATGCTGTTTTCCATAGTAAAGCTTCAGTTTTGTTGTATCACTGCTCCACATGGAATCTATTTTGGGGAAATAAATAAGGTAAAAAATAGAGTATTTTGTTCTAGATGGCTAGTCAGAACAGAATACCTCTCAATTTGTTAGAAGTCTTCCTCTGTGACTCTCAATAAGGTATTTAAAAAGTTTTCATCTATTGATTCAGTATAATCCCTATTAAAATTCCAACAGTATTTTTTTACAGAAAAAAAAATCTCAAAATTCAGAATCCCACAAAAGATCCTGAACAGCCAAAGCTGTCTTGAGAAAGCACAACAAAGCTAGAGACATCACACTTCCTGATTTTAAACTGTACTACAAAGCTACTGTAGTCAAAACAGTATGGCACCAGGGGGAAAACAGACATACAGGCAAATGGGCAGAATTGAGAGCCCAGAAATAAACTCACACAGGTATGGTCAACTAATGTTTGCCAAGGCCAACAGGAATACATAATGGGAAAATGATAGTCTATCCAACAAATGATGCTGGGAAAACTGGTTATCCACATGTAAAGGAATGAAAATGGACTCCATCTTACACCACTCACAAAATGCAAAATGCATTAAAAACTTAAATTATTTTGAAACTGAAAAATTCCTAGAAGAAAACAGGGAATAAAATTCCCTGACATTGTTGTTGGCAATATTTTGGATACAGCATCAAATGCACAAGCAACGAAGTAAAAATAAACTAGTGGGAGTTCCTTAAACTAAAAAGCTGCTATACACAAATGAAACAACAAAATGAAAGGCAACCTATGGAATGCAAGAAAATAATATCTGAACAGGGTTTGTCTTAGTTACTTTTCTTGTTGATGAGACAAAACACCTGACACTTAAGGGAAGAAAAGTTAGCTCACAGTTTGTAGAGGTTTCAGTCTATAATTGGCTGGCACAAACCACAAGAGGGTTATTATCCTAAATGTGCGTTAGAGCTTATATCTGGATGTCCCCCAAAACCTCGTGTGCTCAATGGTGGGGGCTTGTGGAAGGTGACTAGACCTTGTGGTTTACATCTGACATCTGTCAGGTGGAGTTTGGTCAGAAGAGGCAGGTTACTAAGAGCGTGGCCTGGAAGGGTTTCTCCAACTTCCTGGCTCCTCCCCCACCCTGAAGCTAACATGAAGGGAGCAGTTTTTCCTCTACTGTGTCCCTCTGCCATGCTGCCCTGCTGTGGAGCAGTCCAGCTATGGACAGATACGTGAGCCAAAATAAACCTCTCTTCCTTTAAGTTGAGGATGTTGAGTATTTCGTCCCAGCAATGAGAAAAGTCACTAAGACAACACATAATGTGCTTATATAACTCAATGGCAAAAATACAACAAAACAAAAACAATCCAGTTTAAAACTGGGGAAAGTAGCCAAGCATGGGATCAAGCATGTGCCTTTAGTCCCAGTACCCTGGGAGGCTGAGGCAAAAGGACTGCAATTTAGGCCCAGCCTGGGCAATTTAGTAACCTTGTGAGACCCTGTCTCAAACAATAATAATGATAATAATAAAAAATTTATACAGTTCAGTGTGAAGGCCTAGTTCATTCCCTAATATGTGACAGAATTTTTTTTTTTTGTCTTTTGGAAACGGTTTCACTGTCCAGGCTGGCCTCAAACTCACAGTGATCCTCCTGTCTCAGCCTCCCAAGTGCTGGGACTACAGGCATGTGCCACTATGCCTGGCTTAAAAAATTTTCTAAGACATTTCTCTGAAGAAGCTAGGGAAAGGTCAACAGGTAGATAAAAAAGTACCCACATCACTAATGGTCAGGGCATCATAAATCAGAACCATACAACTCATCTTCTGTCATAGTGGCGGTGCCTGGGGGAGGATGAAGGGTGCACGGTGAGCTCCTGGGATGGCCAATGTGAGCAGCCTCAGGGGAGCAGCCTGGAGCTTCTCCCAGACCTGGAGACAGAGCTACAGAGCACGGCTGTCAAGAGACACCTGCACTGCTGTGTTCACTGTGGCTTTTTTACAACAGCCAAGGGAGGAATGCCTGAGGGTTCATCAGCAGACGCCTGGATATAGGAAGTGTAATACAGCATGACCATGTGTGTTACAGATCACACATGAAGACACTCTAGCACTTGCCAGGCAGGCGCTGTGCCACTGAGCTGTATCCCCAGCCCCAAGATACTCACTTATAAGGACCACAAATACATTCGTTTCTTTTTCTGTCTTCCTACTGTATCATGCCTTATCCACAGACACTCAAATGTTTGCTGAATTAAATTGAGTCCAAGGCATAAGATTTTTTTATTAGCACATGTTTGCAGTACATGATTACAAAACTCACTGCCGGCAGTTGGTTCATGTATATTAACACATCTTCATTCTTCTTATGTCCCCTTCCCCTCCTGGCACCATTTCCCCCCTCCCATTTCTTTTTTCTCTATTTTATTTTGCTCTTTATTTAATTTTGGGTTTCTCATATAAAAGAAACCATGTGATAGTTAAGCTTGTTTGTCCAATTTATTTCACTTAACATTAAGTTTAAATAATTTATTTCAATTTATTTCACTTAACATTATGGTCTCAAGGTGCATCCATTTTTCTACAAATGACTCAAGTTTATCCTTTATGGCATAATAGTACTGCAGTGAGTATGAATACCACATTTTATTTATTCTTTCATCTGCTGATGGACATATGGGCTGCTTCCAGGATTTAGCTATTTTGAACTGTCAAGCTGTAAGATTTCTAGTTGATGTTAACAATTAAAAGATAAAAACTAAGAATTTTTTGCCATCCCAGACTGTTAAAAAATTGAAGGGAATGACCATGGAATAATATTAGAATATTTAGGGTGTGCTGGATGCTGTGGTAAGCATTTTGCTTTATTTAATTTGATCCTCAAAGGATCCTGCCATTTGATAAGTGAAACAGAGGGCATCTGTACCTGACTTGCTCAAGGTCACACAGTTGTACCTTCTGATTCACAAGCCCATGCATGAAATTTTAACTATGTCAGTAATTCTCAATCTTTAATGTCCATAAAAATGCCCAGAAAGTGTTAAAACATAGATTTCCAAGCCTCAGTACCTGTGACTGACTCCACAGTCCAGAAGTAACAACTTCCTAGGTAACCCAGATGTCACAAAATAAGACTCATGTGGTTTCTGTCTCCAAATGGACTCTGACTGGTCTACATCTCAAGTTCCACCAGCCAGATGCTGTTTATGACTATTAAGTTAGGCTTTTCCAGATATCTAGCTTGCTACCTACCCATTCATGTCCCTGCCATGTATATAAGTGGATATATAGTAAAGCTTTACAGAAACAGGATACTGTTTTTTTTTTAATTAATTAATTAATTAATTAATTTTTTGAGACAGGGTCTCACTATGCAGTTCAGGCTGGCTTTGAGCTCACTTTGTACCCCAGGCTGGTCTCAAACTCGCAATGATCCTCCTGCCTCAGCCTCCCGAGTGCTGGGATTACAGGCATGTGCCACCACAGCCGGCTCTACTCTGTTGCTTACTTTTAATGATTTATGCACCTTCGCTGGAAAAGTGTTGAGTGCTGGCCTTTTACTAGTTGGGTTGTCTGGTTTGAGCAGTAAGAATTCTTTATCCTGGATACTGAATGCTTAGCTATGATTTTCTCCCATCTCCCATTGTGTGGGTTTTATTTTCACTTTGACAGTGTCCTTTCACACAAAAATTTTTTTTATCTTAATGAGGTCCAATTTACCTATTTCTTCTCTGGTTGCTCCAGTAAAACAAGGTTTATCTACGTGTGAGGCTAGTCAGCCTCTCCAGAATCTTACGCACATACGAAGTCTTCCTTTCACAGCACAGAACACAGAAACAGACTTGTTCTGGTTCACAAGAAAAGAACTTCCATTAATTCGGTGTGGCAACCCCACCTGGGTAGATGGTGAGTAAAGAACTGATGTGATGCTGGCGAGGTGGCTCACACCTGGAAACCAGCTACTCAGAAAGCTGGAGCAGGAGGATGTCAAGCTCAAGGCCAGCCTGGGGCACTTAGTGAGACCATCTCAAAAAATAAAAAGGGTGAGGATATAGCTCAGTGGTGCAGTCCTCCGGGGTTCGACCCCCAGTAATGGGGGGAGGCATCTGGTAATGAGATCGAGTCCATTCTTCAAGGTCATGTATTCAAATCTGATGTGTTCAGATTTGACTAAACTTATTACCAATTTACAACTATTCAGTAGCCATATTACAAATTAATGATTTTGTATGCAGTTTTCCTTAACTGACATACTGAACAGATACACTGTTCTTTAATCTGAATACCTAGAGACGCTGGTGAGTGTAGTATGGTCATAGAATCAGTAATAGTCTTAGAGCTCAAACAACAAAGTGATTACAGCAAGTCCCCGACTTAGGAACATCCCAGTCGTGAACTGTCACAGTCACAAGCGGGCCTCGCCCTGGGAACCTTTGCAGACGCGGGCAAATGGGCAGGGCTGTGGTCCCGCGCTGGCCGGGTGCTCATAGCGCTGCACTGCGGAGCCCAGGTGTCGGGAGGCAGAGCAAGAGCAGCGGTCATGCGAGTGGAGCGGGAAGCCCACAGCAGCAACCATGCAAACCAAAGTGAAAGTACCCGAGACTGATTAAAGGCTGTGGTATTCTTGGGTTTGGTTTTTTTCCCTCTACCCTGTATATTTGGGTCAGAGGTGTGAAAGGCTCACTTTGTCAGACTTACGAACCTATGACCATTCTCCTGGAATGGAACTGGCTCCTAAGTCAGGAAGTCCTGCACATAAGAGGCCAAACTGCACAATCCTCTCTCCTAACACCTCTCATGGGCATTCTATTTAATAAAGCGTAAACAGAATGTTTTTTCTCTGCAGTGCTGGAGACCAAATCCAGAGCCTTACACACACTAGGCAAGCACCTGGCCACTCTGCTACATTCCCCACCCAGAAAAAGGTAGTTTTTTGGTCGTTCTAATTTATTTTTATTAGTATGTTTTCGATACATACTAAATGCATACATCGTGGGAAGTTGATACACACCTTATTTCATCTTAATCCCTTTTACTTCCTCTTGCCCTACTGCCCTTCGCCTCTCCCTCCATTCCTAGGTCCCCTTCCCAACTGCAAAAGGTCTCCCTCCCCGTTTCCTATCATCATCTTTTTTTTTTTCTTTGTTTAGTTTCGTTGAGACAAGGTCTCACTGCATAGTTCAGGCTAGCTTTGAACTATGTAGCCAAGGCTGCCCTCAAACTTGGGGTGATCGTCCTGCCTCACCCCGAGTGCTGGGATTACAGGCGTGCGTCATCATGCCTGGCTTCCTATCATCTTTTATTTGCTCTTTATTTATACTTTCGTTTCTCATATAAGAGAAACCATGCAACCTTCTGTCTGATTTTTTTCACTTAGCATTGTGGTCTCAGGGTGCATCTATTTTCCTACAAATCAGAAAAAAGTAATTTTAAAAGATAAAAACAGTAAATTAGTTCTCAATTTCCAGTTTAGGATATCTGAATTACCATTCACAGCATTCTTTTCCTTGATTTGTTTTTTGAGGCAGGGTCTCACTGTGTACTTCAGGTTGGCCTTGAATTCACTGTGTAGCCCAAACTGGCCTCCAACCCCCAGCAATCCACCTGTCTTAGCCTCTCAAGTGCTAGGGATACAGGCATACACCACCATGCCTAGCAGTTCACAGCACTGTTACAACCAGAGAATAACTGTAATTTTATAATTTAAATTAAATTATAATTAGATTGCATATAATTAACTTGATAATTAAGATTAACTTTATAATTAAAATGATATGTAATTTAAAAATGTACTCTTTATGGTCCTACTATCTGTGTTCACATTCCAAAAATCAAATAATTCCTTGTGATTTTTTTTTGAGGCAGGGTCTCACTATGGGGTGCAGGCTGGCCTTGAGCTCAGTTATGTAGCCCAGGCTGGCCTTGAACTCACAGCAGTCCTCCTGCCTCAGCCTCCCAAGTGCTGGGATTACAGGTGTGTGCCACCACACTTGGCCATCTTTTTTCTTTTTCTTTTTTTGAGACAGGGTCTCACTATATAGTTTAAAATGGTTTTGAACTCACACTGATCCTCCTGCCTTGTTCTCCCAAGTGCTGGGATTACAGGTGTGTGCCACCATGCTCAGTCAAAACTCTGACATTTGGTTGTTAAAATTTTTTAAATTGTTAACATTTTCTTTATTTTAAAGAGAAAAAACAAAATTTCAAGACAAGGTAATAGGAGAGTAACAACAGTTAATACATTGTGTGTTGTTATCTTTAAGTTAGTTACTGAGAGTACAAGATACTGTCATTTGCTTGCCCAAATAATATTAGCACAAACCTTTCTTCTCGGTGAACTAAGAAATCAGTAGTATAACTATCTTTTATATACATTATTTTTTTCTTTTTGCTTTTCCTTTCCTTTTTTTCTCTATTCTGTCTCAGTCTCTCTGTCCTTTTAAAGTTTCTTCCCACTTTACAATTGACATTTGAAATCACTTAAATAATCACTTTAGTTCACATATGTGGCATTTAAAATCCTAAGTATCTTAATATTTAGCAATGAAATCTGATATGAGTTTATTCTATAACTAAGGATATGAACATCTTAGTTAACAGTTTTATCTTCACCTCACATACTCATACTAGTCTCTACTATAGAAGTAAATACTATGAATTAACATGTGAACATGGTGTTACATAAATTTCAGCATGTGCTGGGCATGATGAGGTACATCTATAATCCCAGCACTTGGGAGGCTGAGGCAGGAGGATCACTGCGAGTTCAAGACAAGCCTGAACTGCATAGTGAAACCCTGTCTCAAAAAGACAAAAAAAAAATTTCGGCAAGCATGTGGCAGATGGCCTGTGACTGAAGAGAAAGCACACTGGTTAAAATGCAAGGCAGGTACATTACTCGATGCTCACAGCCTGCATCAATTCGGTCATGTAATATGTGCTGCACTGTGTTCAGAAAGCAATCAACATGGGGATCTCAGGTTTCAAACGCACAGCTCCCTTGCTAGGCCTTTTCCCCAAAGTAATGATCTTTGTGTTACCGAGTTTGGTAACCTTAACCTGGCGCTTAAGGTTGCTCACAAAGGTAATGCTCAGGAGGGCAGGTGGATGGTGTTCTTGAAAGGCTGACTGTATAATAATTACCTTCGATAATGAGCATCTTTTATCAAAGAAAAGCTTCTTTTATTCCAAAGTCAGCCAACTTTTTTTTTCCCCAGTACCGGGAATCAAACTCGCGACCCTGCACTTGCCAGGCAGGCACTGTGCTGCTGAGCTAAATCCCCAGCCCAGTCAGCCAACTTTTTAGACACAACAGAAATCTGGTGAACATGGCTATGGATATTTACACACATTCAATAAACAGAATCTCTGTCTTTCCCAGCAAAACTGTGAAACCAGAGAGGTTTCTGCTTTAAATTTTTTTTAAAAACTCATCACTTCCTTTCTACAGGGGGGAAAGAACCTTCTTGTTCTCTTCATGCTCACCCCCATCAATAAAAGAAAGAACTTGCCGCAGGTCACTTACTCTTATTATTGGTTGATCACACATAAGTGAATGCTGATCATGTTAATCACATGTGTGTTTTAGACCTCTGTGTCTGATTTTAACAGCAAACTAATAGCACTTACAAAGGGCTAGACAGTGTTCTAAGAGTTTTATATATGTGACTTGTTTACTCTTCAAACAACTCCATGACATAAGTACCATTATTATTCTCATTTTGCAGCTGAGCAAACTAATGCCTAAATAAGTAACTTGCCAAGGACCACACACATCTAGTAAGCTGCAGTAACCTTGGCAGTAAGCCTCAGAGTCAAAATGCTGTCCTAGTCCTCAATATTGCAATTAGCACACTTACAGAGATTGGCACTAAGAAGAATGACCAAGTCATTCTGGCCACTCTTTAAGGCTAATCTCCATGATAAGGGCGACCTGGCCTGGAGTAGGAGCGTTAGAAGAGTGCGCTCGTCCCTGTCCCAAGAGGTAACTTCTCTTCACTCCAGGAAGAGCACTCTGCTTTGTTATTGTTCATCATGTTAGAATGCAGAAACATCTGTTGAGCTTCTGAAAGTGTAAAGAAATAGAGGTAATAATTTGCCCCGTAAGGATCTCACAGGAAACAGGCTTCTTTCCTTCCTTCCTTCTTCCCTCCTTTCCTCCCTCCCTTCCTTCCCTTTCCTCTTCCTTCCTTCCTTCTTCCCCCCCTCCCTCCCTGCCTCCTTTTCTTCATTCTCTCCCTTTTTCTCCTCTCTTTTCTTGTGAAGCTCTTTAATGTGATGACTGCTATGACAGAGGGAACATAAGGAATCACCACCCGATCTTGAGCTCGGTACGCATTCTGGGAAATTTCACCTGAATTAAATCTTTGAGACTGGTGTCTTTTCAAAGATGAGGAAAGAGGACATGCCTCGCGGAGGGAACAGAATGTGCAGCAGGCTTTAAAGGCAAAAGTAATGACACCTACAAAGGAAGTGGGGCTGTTTCAGCGCTGGCACAGGAAGAGGGGAGAGCATTTCCTGGGATATGAAGAATGAGGAACTAAATGGTAGATCCTGGCCAGATAGATAAAAAAGGTCCATTGTAAGAAGGCTGGATTTTTACCCTGGAAGGAGGAGGAGCCACTGAATAATTTTACAAGAGAGCACCCGGGCCGAACTGTGCCCTGGAGCACTATGTCGGTGCACAGCAGCTAAGATTTCAGGTCCCAGAGTTTGCGTGTTTGCCGTCTAGGAGGTGGGCAAACGTGAACAAGTTACCAAAGTGCATCTGCTTAGTCTCTGTAAGCAGCAACTCCTTAAAAGTGAACCTAAAACGGGAACAACATTTAATTCACGGGGTTAATGGGGATTAAGCCAGATGATCCACTCAAACCACTTAGCAAAGAAATCGGTAAGTACTGAGTAGATGGAAGTTATCACTTGCAGTAGCAATGTGGGTGGATTAAGAGGACAAAGGAAGCAGGAAACTCTTAAGAGGCTTATTGAAATCATCACAGAGAAAAGTAAAATCTGAAGCACTGGTTGGGGAAAAGTCAAGAAAGCAATGGGTTCAAAACACAAAGGTGACACAGGACTCTGGGAGAGCGCTGTGCGGGATCGGGATCGGGGCCTGTAGACAAATGATGGTCAAGGTCACCGGGCGGGGCCCACACAAGAATGAACACACCGGGCATCTCACAGAGACCTTCATTCAGTGTGTCACAAGTCATTCGTGCACCCTTCAGAAATCCACTCTTCCTTCTATGTACTGGGGACAGCATTTTCTTAACGATTTTTCTCCTCCCTGTCTGACAGTGCCTTCATTCAGTCTATTTCAGGGTCTTCTTTGTCCTTCTGTTTCCCAAGGTGTGTTTCTAAAGCTCGTAATCTCAATACTTTGCTTTTCTGTTTTCTCTCTTGGAGGAGCTCATCTACTCCCAAGACATTAATTAGTACACCTGGTACTGATGAGTTCCAGATTTGGTTCCAAAGCTTGTGGGTCCACTGGAACATCCCTATGGAATACTGATGCAGTATGTTTAAGACCAAGCACTTCCCTGATAATCTGCCTAACTCTACATGAATGGTTTGTTTTTT